GGGGGGGGGGGGGGGGGGGGGGGGGGGGGGAGACATGGGTGAAATTTTTTTTAAAAAGAAACCAAGATACCTTGACATTGGGCTGAGGGTGCCAGTTCTTTAAGGCAGGCTTTGACAACAGAAAATGAAGCAAAAGAAAATAGGTCACATATACTAAAGGCTCAACACTCAGACTGGCTTTAGCCTGGTCCTCAGCACTGGGGCAGCTGGAAGACTGTATATCTTTAAAAAAAGGGGGGGCGTTGGGATGAGCTGGTCTGCAGGTCTGGTGATTCAGAACCACTCATCAGAATGCAGGTGGGTGAGGTGATGCTCTCAGAAGGAGAATCTGGATCTGCCCTGATCTGTAGGACAAACAAGTCATTCACCAGCGCTGCTTTAACTGGTGTCAGTCACCAGTTAGTTGCTGTAAAGCTCACAGTCACCACACGCCATAGGCAAGCTGTCGTTAGCACGTGTGACTCTTCTGCGAAAATTAGAAAAAGTCTTCTCTTACTGGAGAAAAAGGAGGCTTTTTTGCACATCAAGCACATATAGTTCTCAATAACAATGATTACAGCAAGTGAAAAGCCGGTCGATATAAATTGTGCAAATCTTACTGTTGAACCTAAAATAATAGTGTTCTTGAGATCTCACCATTCACATTTTCTAAGATGTGATTCATTTTAAAATCGTTCCATCTTGCTTTCATAGACACTCTATGATTTATGATAGTGTCAGTCTTCTTGCTTCTGTTTCTCATTTTCTTTGGAAATGGTCACTGGATTTGACAGTCTTCCATGTGACATTGTAGACTTTTATCTTAGAATGCTTAACGTTTTTATAATACTTGGTAGTAACAAGTCACAAAAGTTTAATAGCACTTAATCTTTTCACTGACAAAACTTCCAGAAAAACAATAGCAATATATGGCAATGTAATATTTTCTTTATATATTATTGATGGCAATAAATGCTAACAATTATATAGTGATTCATGTCACAGGGAAGTGCTTATTAAATTTAAATAGGGAATCGACAATAACATCCTGGTGAAGGACCTGTACTATCTAATGTAGCCAGTATACCAATCCAATAGGATTTTTTTTTAATTTTAAAAAGTGTTTTATTTCAGACAGAAAAAGTTACTATTTAGAATGCATAATTTATGTTAGATGTTAGACTGATAAATTGTTTCAATTATAAAACTGGTCCCCCCTTTGTAATTCTGCTGGGAACGAGACATAGCAACTTAAAAAAATACTTTGTTTCCATCAAAATGCTGTTCTAATGGTTTGATTTTAAGAAATGTTTCAACCATCTGCTAGAAACCTTATTGTAACAAACATATAAGCTGTCCTTCTTCGGAGTCAACATATATGAAAAAAAACTTTAAAATAACGATGATGTTGCCCTGGCTGGTGTGGCTCAGTTGGTCGGGTGTTGTCCTTGCACAGAAAGGCTGCCCGTTCAATTCCTGGTCAGGGCACATGCCCGGGGCTTCAGACTCGATCTCCAGGAGGAGGCGTGTAGGAGGCAGCTGATCGATGTTTTGCTCTCACATAGATGTTTCTCTCTTTCCCTTCCTCTCTCTCTAAAAATCAATTAAAATATTTAAATAATAATAAAGATATCTATGTGTGGAAGTGGTCCCCTTATGCCCTTTTGCCTTGCACAACCTGTGCACCTGTACCGGCCGTGTTATCCAGACTGTTAGGTCCAGACCACTAGGCTGGACACTCTGAGCTCCATCCTGAGTGACACATGGAGGCCCTGAGATTTGTGTCTTAGCATCGCTGATGGTGCAGCCTCGCTCCTAATCCTCCCCCAGGGCCTCCAGCCACCTCCTGACTCCTCGTCCTCCCTGTGCCCTGAGATCCACGCCTCTCAACACCAGCTCTCACTTTTCCCCAGCAAGGTTTTTGTTTGTTTTCGGTTATTTTGTTTTTTGGTGTGTGGTTTTCGTGTGTGTGTGTGTGTGTGTTTGTTTGTTTGTTTTTGAGGAAACCTATTTATTTCATAAGTAACATGTGTTTTAGGAAACCCAGATGTTTAAAAAAAAAAGAGGAAATGGAAATTACCTATAATCTCACCCACTCAGGGAACTCATAGCTTAACATTTTATTACATTGCCATCTGGTTTTGTTTCTGGGGTGTAGCGTATAATTTTGACAAAAATTATACTCTTCAGCATATGTTTGGTAGCCCTCTTTTTCATTTGCTCTATGACCAGGTCTTTGTGTCAGTAAATATACTCTTCCAACTTTATTTTAGATGCGGATCATCATTGTTCTAGGCAAATGCACTTTAGTTTCACGCTCAGTTACCAGCAAGGTTTTTCTAATCCAGTTTGACCAGCCCCACCCTCTAGAACACTGCCTGGCACATAGTAAGGACTCAATAAACATTTGTTGAGTGTATCTTTTCACCCCAATCAATATAACAAAACAGGTTAAACTGACAGGCGATACAGCCGTAAGCCAGTGTTACTCCCAGCCCTGCCACTTTCTGTGTGACTGTGGACAGAATACTCAATGTCTCTGGGCTTTTTTCCTCAGAGCCAGTAAAATCAGCACTTACCTTCCAGGCCTGTCGTGAGGATTAAATAAGTCCTGTATGTGGAATCCTTAGCGTGGAGCTTGCTACCGTTGGTCCTCGGTAAATGGTAGCTGCAGTTACTCCTTTTCTCTCCCAAAGTGTGGGTGCTGCTGTGTGCACACCTTTGCTAGCTCCACCTCCCAGTCTTGAGGCCCCTCTCCTCATTGGGACATTTTGGAATCTTCCAACTCCTGTTTCGACCCTCACCCCTCCACCCGCACTGGGAAAGGGAGGAATCAGAAGTTCTGGACATTTCTGTCACCTTACTCATTCAGTTCCACAGCACTGCCTAACTTACTGAGCACCTACTATGCGCAGAACACAGTGCAAGGCTTGGTGGTAAATGAAAGGATTTGCACACAAAGATTCATTCTCTCAACAGACATTAGTGCCACGTGCAAGTGAAAAGGGC